GGGGGGCCATTGAAGTGAATGGCACCGTAACCACACCCTCCGGCCGCAATGCGATCGGCCGCACGGGATGGCAAGGCACATTATGCCTGCGGTCCGGTCCGATACAGTGTGATCAAAATAGTGCTTGCAGCATTTTGATCGGACCGGACCGCAGGCATAATGTGCCTTGCGATTCCGTGCGGCCACATACAATGCTGTTTTTACACCTCTCTCTGGGCAGTTAATAACACCTCCTAGCTCCAATTATGCAAATGCTATCAACACCTGGTTGTGACCAACAGATTATGTGGATTGGAGCGAAATTCACCATATTTATTCCCAGATATTTTTTTGTACAAGTCATTCTGAGTTGAGAAAGCTGGTCGGTTGTCTAGTGAAACGTCTTCAAGAAAAATACAGCAAGTCCAGTTGCCTTGACTCATTCTTTACAGATATCTGATTATATTTGGGCTCTTCCCAGGTCAGGGCTGTTACATTGCATCTGAACAGGGAGTTCAGAGATCTGAACCCCAATCCTCGGTGCCCTTGAGGTGTCTACCTCTATCCTGGTACAAAAGATGATAAACCCTGAGCCCCATGCTGGGACTTTGGACCCCCTGTGTGAACATCGGAACTCATCAATCAATAATACTGATCAGATGGTTGATTGACACAAGAGCAGCAAAGAGAAGGGAAACGACCATGGATTACAGTAAGGCACACAATACACTATTGTTTTATGTTAAAAAATCTGAGGGTTTAATGTCACTTTAAGTATGAGAAATCCGTCCTCTATATTCACTCTATATGTGGTGACCCTCGTATTTCTGCACAAGAACAATGCTGGTCACCACCATGGCACACTTGCTTTCTGTGTGCCTGGTTCATACCACAAAGCGAAGTATAGTGCACAGAGTGCAGACATACTACATGTTTCTGTAGTTAACTAGAGGGCATCATAGGTCACCATACTGACCAACAGACCCACCAGAACATCATTTCTATAGATGTGCCATCAATTGGAGATTGTCCTCCAATAATTTTTCATCATCCTCATACATTGGCAATGCCATTCTAGCATTCAGTTCAGGAAAGGTAAAATCTCCCATATTCCCCCCCGAGCAGCCCTCTATTGGTGTAATGCGTCATTACCTTCCCATTAATACTGGGGATCCCTAATAAATGTATCCAATATGAAACCCAGATCGGGTTCCATCTCACTTACCAGATCTTGAATGAAGACAGTGATCAGCCACACAGACAGCTCTTCATATATAATACGTGGTTCCTTTCTTTCTGGGATCAGGGAGTCATCGGGGAATGTTGCTTTTCTTAATGAATTATGTTTCCAGAATTCTCTTGTGTTTTGTTTCTTCATTGTTTAACAAGGTGGATTGTTGGGAATACTAAAAATAACACTGCGCTCATCTTCTATGATACACTATATTACCAAAAGTATTGGGACGCCGGCTTTTACACGCACATAAACTCTAATGGCATCCCAGTCTTAGTCCGTAGGGTTCAGTATTGGGTTGGCTCCGCCCTTTGCCACTATAACAGCTTCCACTCTTCTGGGAAGGCGTCCACAAGGTTTAGGAGTGTGTCTATGGGAATGTTTGACCATTTGTGAGGTCAGGTACTGATGTTGGACGAGAATGCCGGGCTTGCAGTCTCCGCTCTAATTCATCCCAAATGTGTTCTATGGGGTTGAGGTCAGGACTCTGTGCAGGCCAGTCACGTTCCTCCACCCCAAACTCCCCCATCCATGTCTTTATGGACCTTGCTTTGTGTAATGGTGCGCAGTCATGTTGGAACAGGAAGGGCCCATCTACAAACTGTTCCCACAAAGTTGGGAGCATGAAATTGTCCAAAATGTCTTGGTATGCTGATGCCTTAAGAGTTCCCTTCACTGGAACTAAGGGGCCAAGCCCAACCCCTGAAAGAGAACCCACACCATAATCCCCCGTCCACCAAACTTTACACTTGGCACAAGCAGTTAGGCAAGTACCGTTCTCCTGGCAACCGCAAAACCCAGACACGTCCATCAGATTGCCAGACAGAGAAGCGTGATTGGTCACTCCAGAGAACACGTCTCCACTTCTCCAGAGTCCAGTGGTGGCGTGCTTTACACCACGGCATCCCACGCTTTGCATTGCACTTGGTGATGTAAGGCTTGGATGCAGCTGCTCGGCCATGGAAACCCATTCCATGAAGCTCTCTACACACTGTTGTGCCGATCTGAAGGCCACACCAAGTTTGGAGGTCTGTAGCTATTGGCTCTGCAGACAGTTGGTGACTTCTGCGCACTGTGCGCTTCAGCATGCGCTGACCCCGCTCTGTCATTTTACGTGGCCTACCACTTCCTGGCTGAGTTGCTCTTGTTCACAGTTGCTTCCACTTTGTTATAATACCACTAACAGGTGAACGCGGAATATTTAGTAGCAAAGAAATTTCACGGAACACCTGAATCCAATGATTTGGAGGGACGTCCCAATACTTTGTTAATATAGTTTATATTCAGCACGGGATATGAATTACTTTGAGAATGGTGAAAGGATTCTTGGTAATTCTACATAACAGACTCTATTGGTATCCATTAATCTTGCAGACATTGATAGGAAGCCAGTGAGCAATCTGGTTTTGGAGACCGGGTCAGAGCTCCATGGACCATTTTCCTCCTGAGGCTCATAAGGTGACATTCAGTATGTCAGTTTCTAACCCTTGCAGGGGATGTATGTAAGGGGATAGCATATTCAATGGTCTTACTGTTGGCCTGGACAGTAAGATCATGCAGAGGAAGTGGAGGACATATATTGATAAACTGAGCTCCTTCTGCCTAATCACAGAGGTGTTATGAGGTTTACCAACTGCTTTCTCACGGCATACTCATCAGCAGTTAAATAAATTACTCAATGGGAAGTTTATCTACATCTCCTGGCTGTGGGCGCTGCTCAATATGTTGGCTGTGGCTATGGTTGGGTGATCATTTCTACATTCAAGGACCCAGACACATTGTCGGTGGCATGATTGTGCACTGTAGGGACTTCTGTGGTGGAGAAGTATGGAGACCATCCAGCACAGCCCATCACATTCCATAACTTGGTTAAAGAAGTTAGATTCTACCAGCTGAGAATGCAGGGCCTGCAGCACCGGAACCTTAGTCAGAGAAACATTCATGGTGGAGGAAAGAGAATATCTCAGCCATGACAACAAAGGGTAAGAGAAGCAAACATGAAGGAGGACACTGTAGCACTGCAAAAGAGAGAGGTAGGTAGGAGATATAGCCGGGGGCAGAGC